AAATAGTTATTTCTTGTACTCAATTTAAAGCAAGTCCCTTCCATTTACTCCTCTGAAAAAATGTTAGGATAGAGGCAGAGGCAAAATAAACTGACAGTCTTAACTACCAATGTCTTGTCTTTCTTAAGTGTTTTATCATCAGAAATGGAATGAGAAATGGGTGTTAGATCTAGATCCACTTAGCAGTAGTTATGTTAATATCCAATCTGTCCTTTTAAAGAATTCTATGTTGAGTTCTCCCACCAGATTATATATCACATATAAAGATACAGCCAGGCATGGTGGCTCATGCCTGTAATCCCAGCACTTTGGGAGGCTGAGGTGGACAGATTGCTTGAGCCCAGGAGTTTGAGACCAGCCTGGGCAACATGGTGAAACCCCATCTCTACAAAAAAAAAACTAACTGGGCATCGTGGTGTGTGCCTGCAGTCCCAGCTACTTGGGAGGCTGAGGTGGGAGGACCACCTGAGCCTGGGAGGTAGAGGCTGAAGTGAGCAGTGATCACGCCACTGCACTCCAGCGTGGGTGACAGAGTGAGAGCCTGTCTCAAAAAAAAAAAAAAAAAAAAGATATCGGTGGTCGGGCACTGTGGCTTACGCCTGTAATCCCAGTGCTTTGGAAGGTCAAAGTAGAAGGAGCTCTTGAGGCCAGGAGTTCGAGACCAGCCTGGGGCACATAATGAGACCTTGTGTCTACAAAAAATAAAAAAGGTAGCCGGGTGTAGTGGTGCCCAGGAGTTCGAGGCTGCAGACAGCTATGATCGCATCACTGCACTGCAGCCTGGGCAACACACACAGCAAGACCCCATCTCAAAAGACAAAAAAAAAAAGATATTGGCCATTCTTAATGTCGAATAGCTTCCCTCACAATGGCATTCCTCACTTTCAGAACCACTGTCTTTTGTATGAGCAAGCAAACCAAAATAGCCTTCTTAGAAAATGTTTTTCTTCAAAGACCCCAGATATCCCCTATAAGGCTCCTACAAATGGCAGGCGAGGGAACTGAGGCTCTAGCTTCCAGGCCTCAGATTTTTTGAAAACACTGACACATTTTCAATTCAGGCTTAAGAGTTCAAGAGGTTTGTTGGGAGTCTTTAGTACAATAGAAGAGCTCCTTTCTAATGCAAACATGGTACCTTCCCCAGACATGTAAAATTACTTCCCCTTTAGCATGCTAGATATTTTGCAGAAAGGTGTTTGACCTTCTAGAATATTAGAAAAATCTATTTTAAAATTTTCTGTTCTCCAATTCACTGAAAAATAAGACGACGGACGCGATGAGAGGTAACGAGCGAGCAATGCAAATGAAGAGGAAGGGACTGCTTGGTAGGACGGGGGTGCACTGTTCCAACGCCCTGCACGCGAGAAGCGTGGCTGGAAAAGCACCTCATCTTCTGCGAGGGCCCTTCGGGCGCCCCCAGAGGGACGAAGGAGAACGTCAGCGTTTTGAGGTGCGCCCTGGAACACAAGGGGAAGGAGGAAGTGCGTGGGGCTCCCCCTGGTGGCCATCAGTGCGAGGCGCATCGGCCACGGCTCCCCAAAAAACGTTCAACAGGAGGGTGAAGAAATCTGCAAGGTTTTTGCGAGAGAAGCAAGATCATTAAGAGAAGCGAATCCCAGAATCCAAACCAGGCATTCGAGAGAGCTCCAGTCTTCAACTCTTTGGTTCAGCCTCAATAACTGAGCTTCAAACATTGAAGCGGCCACCTCACCTTCATTGCCAAGAAATCCTGGGCCCCCAATCCCGAAACAGTATGGTGGCTCCCAGTGGGGGCTGCTGTACTTGCTGGAGGAGGAAGAGTTTTTCCTCATTAAAATCGTTCTGAAAATGCAGAAGCCATCCCCTACTCTCTGCCCCCCAAAAAACCAGAAGCCATCCTCCACCCTCTGCAGCCCCTGAAAAGACACACAGCAACACTCCAGAACATCAGCAATACTGGCCCTTTTCCAGAAGCAGCGGAAAAGTACTCAACTCCAAGGCAGAAGTCTTTTATTAATATTTTTATTTTTTGTGGGCACATAGTAGGTGTATATATTTATGGAGTACATGAGATATTTTGGTCCAGGCATGCAGTGTGAAATA